GGGGGGGGGCCCCCCCCGCGCCGGCCCCCCCCCCTGCCGTGACAGAAGCGAACCAATCACATGAGAGCAAGTAGAGTTGGCATGCGTCTTCCCCAATAGGAGGAAGGCGCTCTACCTGGGGAGGCGGGACCACCAAAGGAGGAAGGATCAAGTGCGGTGGACCGGCAGTGGTGTCGGCGCGATGCATTGTGGTTGTTACCGGAAGCCACTAGGCTGGGAACAAAGTCGCAGGGCAGCGAGTGTAAAAGGTCCCAGGTTCCCCAGCTGGAGCTGCCAGCTGTCGTGCCCTGTGCCAGCCAGAGCCCACGGAAGGGGCCAGCTGGGCGCTGCTCTGGTGCTGCCACAGCTGCTGTGGGGCAGAGGAGGGCCCAGTGGGGACATACAGCGCCTAGCGCACTGGCCCTCTCCAGAGGATGCACATCCCCTATGGCTAGCAGCTCCCTGCATACCTTCCTCCATCACAGCCACCCAGAAGATTAGCAGAGCGCCCACAGCTGGCAGCATGTGTTTCTAGTGTGTGGTGCACACCCCTCAGTGCACATCACAAAATGCATTCTGCATGCAGATGGAGAAAAATAAAACATTGTGCACCACAGGGGTCTGGATTTCAAACCCAACGTGTGAGCAAAAAGGGACCTGACTGCTCCGGTCAGTGCTGCCGAGCAGGCCAATAAAACTCTGGTCTGCAGGGCTAAGGCAGGCTAGTCAGTGCCCATATTAGTAGCACCATACTGCTCTAGAAAGAGCCCAGCAACCTAGTTCATTCCCTCACCTCCCACCCAGCCCTCATCTCACCATAGAGACCTGAGCCTCAGCTCCATCATGCTGACTCCATAATGAGCTGCAGGGAAAGTAGCCCTGTGGTTCGACAATGTGCCCACTGCCACGGCTCTGCACTGTGGAGGTGCAGACCCTGGGCAACGTCTGCTCCAAACTGCCAGGCCGGGAGAGGCTCTGCTTGGGAGAACCTCAGGCTGTCCCCAGAGGGCACATCTTAAGTGTCAGATGACTGACCATTGCCATAATGGCCTTCATTGGGCCCCTCCCCACCCACATCTCCGCTCTGCTCTCTTGCTTATATATACACCCTGCTCCCAATCCATGTAAGCCTCCTCCAAGACTTCGTTAGCCATGCTGACTGGACCCAATATTCACAACCAGCCCGCTCTGCTGTTGTGGCCTACATTGATGGATAGGACCAGTCCTTTCATCCTGGCAAACGAGCAAATACACACACACCCCGCCGTCACCCCTACAAAGAAATACTGAGCATCCTGCTGCCTCAGTTGATTGCTCTCCTGCTTGTGTGGAACTGCCAGCCCCATTGACACGTAGCCAAGGCGTGATTCCACAGACACTAGTTAGCACTGACACTAGTGTGGGCATAGCTCATCCCGAATCTTTGTCAGCAGGGCAGTAGAGAGGACTAACCAGATGGAGGGTTTGAATAGTGTATAGTACAGACGAGATGGCATAGACTAGAGGGTATAGTCAATTAAAATGAACACAACATCAGAACGATCCCATTGGGTCAGACCAAAGGTCTATCTAGCCCCGTATCCTGTCTACCAACAGTGGCCAATGCCAGGTGCCCCAGAGGGATGGAACAGAAACAAAATCAAGTGACCCATCTCCTGTCACCCATTTTCAGCTTCTGACAAAAAGACTAGGGCCACCCTTCCTACACAGCCTGGCTAATAGCCATTGATGGACAGCGGCAGTCAAAAAAGCAAATATAATGTTGGGACTCATTAAAAAAGGGATACAGAATTAGATAGAAAATATCTTTTTGCCTCTATATAAAACCATGGGACGCCTATATCTTGACTACTGCGTACAGATGTGATCGCCTCATCTCAAAAAAGATCTATTGGCACTGGAAAAGGTTCAGGAAAGGGCAACAAAAATGATGAGGGGTTTGGAACGGGTCCCATATGAAGAGAGATTACAATGCCTTGGACTTTTCAGCTTAGAAAAGAGGAGACTAAGGGGGGATATGGTAGAGGTCTATGAAATCATGACTAGTGTGGAAAAAGTGAATACGGAAAAGTTATTTATTTATTCCCACAATACAAGAACTAGGGGTCACCCAATGAAATGAATAGTCAGCAAGTTTAAAACAAACCAAAGGAAGTTTTTCTTCACGCAGCTCACAGTCAACCTGTGGAACTCCTTGCCTGAGGAGGTTGTGAAGAGCAGGACTTTAACAGGGTTCAGGAAAGAGCTAGATAGATTCACGGAGGTTAGGTCCATCAATGGCTATTAGCCAGGCTGTGTAGGAAGGGTGGCCCTAGTCTTTTTGTCAGAAGCTGAAAATGGGTGACAGGAGATGGGTCACTTGATTTTGTTTCTGTTCCATCCCTCTGGGGCACCTGGCATTGGCCACTGTCAGCAGACAGAATACCGGGCTGGATGGACCTTTGGTCTGACCCAGGATGGCCGTTCTTATGTTAACCGCCTTTTTTAAACCCTGTTAAAGTCCTGCTCTTCACAACCTCCTCAGGCAAGGAGTTCCACAGGTTGACTGTGAGCTGCGTGAAGAAAAACTTCCTTTGGTTTGTGTGTTTGTTTTAAACTTGCTGCCTATTCATTTCATTTGGTGACCCGTAGTTCTGAGAACGAATGAAAGGGGCCATCTCCTACAGAAAGTGAAGTATTGGGCTCATGAACATGTGCCACAGAAACATGATGATACTGGACAGTCTGGGAGAGCTTGAACTTGGACCCGTAACCTTCCCTTGAAAATTGCTGCTATCCCCATGGGAAAGTCACACACTTCCCTAAGGTGTCAAAAGGTAGGAGAGAGATGGTAGCAAGCCAGACTTCTAGTGAAAATACTCAGAGCACCAACCCTCGTAGCATCTGAGAACAAACTGAATCCACCCAGCCTTAAGCTTTGGCTCTTCTTTAGACTCTCTCGGAAATACGTGACACTTCATCGACGAGAACCATCGCCCCGTGGATCCCTGTGTGGTTTCTTCCAGGCCTTTCCTCCGCCCCAACATCTGGTTTGACTCCAGTCAGAGGGAGGCTGCACGAGTGTGATGCACTCCCATTTTCAGGCGTAGAAGATGGGAGAAAAGGAAGTCTCACTGAGGTTTTGTTTTTACTGTATTTGTGTAAAAGTAACAACATCTGCCTGCTGGTCTCAGGTGAGTCCGTGGTCCTCCTCTCTGGCAGGAAGACCAGATGATGGCTAAGAAGTCTTGGCACAATGCAGGAACAGCTGCGACTACAGGGTATTTTCAAATCAATGGCCGAAGACAAACCATGGTAAATCCCAGAGCAGGGAGTCCTGCAGTTCCTAGGAGTGTGGCCCAAGTTAAAATCAGCCTAGTTGATGTCAGGGTCATCTAATCCACATTCCTAAATTATGGTCCATGGGACACCTGCTAGTGGGCCACAGGGAGCTGGCTGGCGCTCTGGCGTTGGTTCTTGTTTCCACAGCAGCTAAAATTAAACAGCTGAAAATACCTTTGTTTTCTTATTACTTTTCAACATGCGCGGTTGCTGCAGAGGTGTTGCACGACTGGAAATCGTGACTGCGATTACGAAGCTGCACCACAAGATCGTCCTCACTAAGAACGTGGTCCACGTCACAAGAGCCCCTAATCGAGCTGTGCCAGGGCGCCCCTCGCTGGAAGTGCCAAGGTCTGGGCAGGCTGCAAAGGGAGAGCAGAGACTCCCCACACGGATGGGCGACACTCAAGTGAATCTTCCCCAAAGAGTCAGCCCCGTGACCAGGTCCGTATGGGTTTGGATCTCACTCAGACACCACACTGCCAGCCAGTCCTTCAGGGTCTAAAACAAAAGGCTAAGGAAGACTGAAAGACAGAAATTAAATGGCGGAACAGTCACACACGTATAACAACTTCAGAGTCCTAGCAGCACTGGTGAGTTTAGTGGGTTGAAGGCCCCCTCTGGGCCAAAGCCCTGTACGGATACAAAATGTGTATCCCCATCTGGATCCACAAAAATGAGCCACGGTCATCCACATCTGCGGATACCCACGGCTCCACTCTGGAACACATCCACAGCTTGGATAGCTCATTCTGTCCTTTGTTCAGAGCTTCCTTTGTAGAAC